ATATATATATATATATATATATATATATATATATATATATATATATATATATATTCGATGCGTATAGTCTTTGGCAAGATCCGAAATATTAGTTTTCCTTCCTTCGGGGTAGAAAACTTGTATATTTCAGGTTTGTGCCTTTGGCTTGACCTTTCGGAGAGATGTTTGGGTTCTGCCGGCTCACAACCTACAGCGTACTGTGACATGAAAAACTCATGTTATCTATTATTGTTATTATTATCATTATTATTAAGGAAAAAAACACTAGCACTTAAAAGAAAACTTATACTTTATTAATTAACTTCAATTACTCCAATCTGAAAATTTAACTTTATTATAAATAGTTATTGACTAACTTATTTATTTATTTTTTTGAGAAAAGAAGGAACTTATTATTAGATAATAAATTAACAAACTTACATTCGAATGACTCAGTCTATACTGGTTTAAATGAATTAAATAAAATAATCTAATAATCTCCTTTTTACTTGTATATATTGGGCATATTTTTACAAGGCTGAGTAGATGGTAGCTGTCGCTAGCGACTTGTGCTACCGTCTTGTGGGTATTGGGAAGTCTTCCCCTTCGATACGCCACCTGCTGGATAAAATATAAACTAGCCTAAGCAGGTCGCTATTAAAACAGCTGGAGTTTATTACACGTGAAAGATTATACGTTCGTTTTAAAATTAATAGAATCATTTTATATAATTATATTATTATATCAGTTATTATATATTAGTTATATAATTATTCAGATTTGACATTTCTTTTTGATTTTTCTATTATGGAGTTTCCTTCTCGACAAAATAAAAACAAAACTTCGTATTGTGTGTTCGGATGCAGTAGCAAGTCTTGTCGGGATGACACAGTTCGATTTTATAGTTTTCCTACAGCTAATAGCAGTTTTGTTACTATAAAAAATAAGTTTGGCGAAGACGAAGTGATAGACCGCCGATTAGCCTGGATAAAACAGTTAAAGATAGGAAATGAAGTCACTCAATCTAAACGCGTGTGCTCATTACATTTCACCAAAGATGATTTTTTACCATCAGGTAAGTTGCCAATACGTCTTTATTGTGATTAAATACATTTTAAAACAATGAAATAATTATAAAAAACAATAATTTAATTTTTTATTGCAGGTAATCCTAATCGACAACGTATTCACTTGAAGAAAGTTAATGTTCCTTCATGTAATCTGCCTGAAACGTCATTGTCATCATTTAACCAGCCAAACTTGAGTCAAATTCACAGCAGAGAAGAAAGACGACGGAGAAGATCTTTCCAAAAACAATCTTCTGCCATTATGAGTAGATCTGAAACAGCTGTTATATGTAATGATAATGACAAGGTAGAAAATGAAGATGAATCTCGTGCTGAATTTGCTGCTGAGGACTTATCTTCTGTGGAAGTTTCTGGTGAATATGAAATGAAAATAAGCAACAAAAATATCACTTATGCAGTCAAAGATTTTCAAGATGTTGCTGTCCAAGTAGAAAGTGATTTTTTAACTCCAAAATTTTTAAGTTTCATCAAAAATGATCAAAAGCTCAGTACATTGACCGGCTTATCAAATTTCAATTTACTGAACACAATCGAAAAATTGGTGATCCAAGTTCAATCGACTTATAATATGTCTCATACCTCAATTAAATTTGATTTACGAGAATTAATAGTAATGACATTTATGAAATTGAAGCAAAACATGTCTTATGCTACTTTAGCAATTTTTTTCAATTTTTCCAAACAATCTTGTAAGGAACAAATTTGGAAAATGATAGATGTCTTGTATATGGCTTTAAAACCAAGTATTTATTGGCCCACAAAGGAGAATATTTTAAAAAATATTCCTTTATGTTTTAAAAATTTTGAAGGAGTCCGAGTCGTTGTTGATTGCACTGAAATTAAAATTCAAAAACCTTCGAAGCTCTGCTGCCAATTACAAACATACTCGTATTATAAAAGCACTTATACTGTGAAATTTATGACAGGTGTAACACCAGCTGGTTTGATTTCATTTATTAGTCCTGTTTACGGTGGGCGTGTATCAGACAACATAATATTTGAACAAAGTAAAATAATTACTATGATGGATAAAAAAGACATAGTATTAGTTGACAAAGGATTCACCATGCATGACTATTGTAAAAAATATGATGTCACGCTTTGCACACCATTTTTTCTGAGAGATAAACGACAGTTTTCTAAGTCAGAAGCTAATATGAATCGGTACGTCGCTAAAGCTCGTGTTCATGTAGAACGAAGTAATCAACGTTTAAAAGCTTTTGAGGTTCTTGGTTCAACTATGCCTGAGTGTTTAATAAATAAAGCTGAAGAAATATTTACAATTATTTGTGCTGTAGTAAATTTGAGGCTCTGAATATTATTATTATTATTATTATGTGTTCGGTGAACAGGCCCACTCAGTGAGCAATACGTCACTGTGGGCTCCCCAAATTTACAACACGCACCTGACAAGCCATCGTTCCCGCTATTTCTCACCCGCTTGCGCAAACCGCTTGACTGATCACGCCACATGTATCGAATTTTACCATTGGCTATCGATGTCGACATCAATAGAACGAATTTATTGATTGGCTATCGCTCTCGCTAGACATGCGCAGGAGCCTTCTTTCCCAAGTCAACGAGGAAGAAGACGAACTGTTATTATTGTCTCTCGCTTCTCCGCCATTAAGTCTAACGCTTCGCTTTCCCGCTATTTTATTTCGCTCATCGTTAACTAAACGCATTTCGCTATTTTTATAATTTAAATTGCTTAAATTAACCGCTAATATTTCGCTTCAGTTTGTTTCAGATAAATTGTGTTTATTTGCCTTTGTTTCACCGCTTTTTACAGTGCCGGCAATTTGCTCAACCACGTGCTGACCGGCTTCGCATTGATAACCACGCTGTGTTTTATAAATCCGCTTTTTTCTTATCAATCCGCTATTGAATATATTAAATATTGAGTATATTTATAGTAAATAAATCTCTAGTGATATTCTTAATAATAATTTTTGTATTTTAATTGAGATAACCAGACCGAAACCGGATCCTTAGTTTTTCCGCTCTTTCAGCAATTTACATTAAAGATCGGTTAATTTAAGAAAAATATAATTATTAAATATTTATATTCAAGTAAGCTCAAATGCCTACATTACAAGATCTATCGATTGAATAACCTCATCTTCATCACGTCTCAACAAACGGGATCGAATTGTAAGTCAATACGATTCTATTTGATTCAATCCGACTTTTGAAACCAGTATGTCGCATTGAAAAGTATTCAATCGAATAGAAAATTTTCGAGGTAGAGCTCAAATTACCGACCAAGCTAAAACCACTTACCATATGTAATTAAAGTTGAATGTAAGTGATAGAAAATAGGAAAAAAAATATAAAGTAAAAATTTATTTGTTTATAACAAATTGTTTATTACATAAACAATGAAAAATTAAATAAAACAAAAATTTTTTTTTGTTATATAAAATAAAAAATAAAGAATGATTTTAAAAAAAATCGTTCCTTCATATTAATTAGAAGTGGGAGAAAATAATTTTTAATTAATCAACAAATGCGTTTTTATGTAATAAAAAAATTTTTTTAAGAAACGGTTTTTTTTTTAAACCATAATTATCATCAAAGATTATGTTATCAAAAAAAAATTTTTAATTATCTCATAAACAACGCATTTGTTTATAACAATTATTTTAACCATAGGTGATAAAAATCATTTTTAAGTAGCTTCTGATCATAAGAAAACGAATCAATAATAATGTTATAAAAAAAAAATTTTTTTCAATATTTAATAAAGCTTTATAATTTTTCACCTTAGTAAATTGTTAATAACAAAACGAAAATTAACATTTTTTTAATTTTTTCTACGGGAATCTATTCTAAAACCTTTGAAAAATAGCTCCACGAAAAAAAAAATTCTTAGATTAATAGTTTAACAATTATCGCACTTGCAATGTTAATGCTCGTGCTACAAAAAATTGTTAATTAATTAATGGATAACTTATTGAAAAATCACGATAAAAATTTTTTGACCACGTATTATTGTTCATTGATCCATCCCGCAGGCGCCTGAATTTTTTCAATTTTTAATTTTCATATTTAATAAGTTTGATAAATTTATCATAATTTTCATACTTAATAAGTTTAATAAATTTATCTTTTAGACTAATGAAGTTACAGCTTTAATGATTCAGGACAATTTTATAGATTAAATATGTGCCTTTAGGGTCAACCGTTTTCTAGATTATTTTATGAACAAATGGTTATAAAAATTGAATTATAATAGATATCGATCATATGAAAAATTTATTATATGAATCAATAAATTGTCTAAAAGATCTTCCTGAATGTCCAAGACCGTATCATCAATAGTTTAGAAGTTACAACAATTTATAAGTTGATAAAATAGTTGACTGTTTCAACTTTGATGAGGTAAAGTATTTTAAAATTCAATAAAAGTAGAGAAAAATTTTTTTTACAAATCTGATGCACATGGCTGAATTTTTAATTTTTAAAAGTAACGGAAAAAAAATAAAATGAAAATGGAAATTTGTTCATAATAAATTGTTCATAAAATAAACAATAAAAATTAAAATGAAAACAAAATTTTTTTTCATAATTATATTGAGAATTGTAAATGACTTAAAAAACAAAAAACTATGTTTCTCATAACATTAACCGAATATTTCAATTTTTGATAACTTTGAAAAATCATTATAAGCAAATGAAAAAACTTTCTTAAACTTTTACAATGGAATCTTGTTCATTATTTATATAATAAGACCTCCTAAAAGGAAAAAAATTTATAGACTCACTTTTTAAACTTTTGTAATAGATTTTTTGAAAACTCAAGTCTACGAAAAATTAGTTAATTAACAATTAAATAACTTAAACAAAAATCAAGCCAAAAATTTTTTTTCTTACGGGACTATATTCCTTCAAGTGTCTAGTTGACACCATAATTTACTCAGATTTTTAAATTAAGGGCTGCCTGTAGATGATCTTCATTAGCACTATACAGCTTCAGATCATCCATGTAAAGCAGATGGGTGATCGAGTATTTTCGATCACCCGGGGGCCCCACAGAGTACCCACGAGTTTTACGGAGAGCAACAGATATAGGCAGCAGTGAAATGCAAAACAGCATAGGGCTCAAGGAATCGCCTTGGAAGACCCCTCGTTTGTACTCTACAACTCCGGTTATGTGCAATGCGTTTCCACTTCCAATGTGAAAACGCGTTCGCCAGAGCTGCATTGTACGCCGAATGCATTCCACTATTTCAGGATTGACCCCTAGGCACTTGAGGAGATATAGGATCAACTCGTGAGGAGTTGAGTCAAATGCCTTGCGATAGTCGATCCAGGCCATTGAAAGGTTGCGTTGATAGTAGATCGCATCTTGTATGACACATCGATCAACTATCAAGTTCTCCTTGCAACCTGACAGGCCTCTTTTGCTGCCACGCTGTTCATATATCTGTTGCCATACAGGTTCTATCTCCTGCAAAATACGGTTGTTTAAAATTTTTGTATAAATTTTATAAACCGCATTCAAGCAAGTGATAGGCCTGTAATTCTTTGGGTCAGACAAGTCACCTTTTTTAGGTATCAGTACGGTTCGCCCTTCCACGAGCCAGTCTGGAATCGGTTCGTCAGCTCTAATGTACGATGTAAATATGCGGGCCAGATGAAGGTGGGTAGAAGTGAACTTCTTCCACCAGAAGACATTAATGCCATCTGGTCCCGGGGCAGCCCAATTTTTGCTGCCATTTAGAGCTGAACGAACTTCATCCACACTGACTGTAGGGCTCTCTTCATGAGCATTCTGTCTACGGTGTTCCTGACAGAATGCTTTGAAGTCATGCAGAGCTGGAGTATTGGCGTTCACGTTTGGTTGATCTCCATACAACTCAGTCCAAAAAGCTTCCACCCGCTCAGGTGTTGGATAGTTCCATATAGGTCTTTGCCATATAGGTCTTATTTGCCATATAGGTCTTATTATTTAGATTGCCATATAGGTCTTACTTTTACGAATTTAAGCGGGAAACGTGATGGTGACTTTACCGTATTACAAATTTGAAAGTTAGAAAAATGAAGTCGTTAAATTCTGATAGATATTGATACAAAGAGATCCGGGTGATTCGTATGAGCGTTATCAAATAGTGGGAAAGTTGGGCTAGGTTTCTCTTATACAGACTTCAAGGGTACTGTAAATTATAAACTAAAAGTAAAAGTAAAACTAATTATTCCTAAGTTACTAAATACAAAAATTTTGCAAATATTTTGGAGTAAGTTGTGAACGACGTATGTCACATGTACCAATGGATGTGATTCTTGTCTGCAAGGAAATAACAACAAACTGTTACTAGTCTTAGATATTAGAGGTAATTCTGTAGGTAGTGATGTGAACAGCAGATACCAAGGCAGTGTTGGCCAGAGTGGTACTACGACTGTTCCCTCAGATTTATCTGTTTTCTTAACGTTCTGAGAATGAGTGCGAAAAAAGGAAGGGCATATATTTTTACTTTCGTCCATTGAATAGTAAACACATCAACTGTCATTGCACTTGGATCTGGAAAATGGGAACAAAATCTTTTACATTCTCGATTCGACCTTGATGCGAAGAGGTTGATTGTGAATGGGCTGAGTTCTTGATGCTTTATCAGCTTCGGTATTTTCAGCCAAAAGAATGTATGGCGCGTAGATCCAAATTTTTCTTCTTTCGCACTATTGCCAGATTTTTCGGGCCGGTTTATTCAGGTGAGAATATTGGATTCCGCGCGCCTGTTCTGTTGATATATAATACTGCAGACGTATTATCAATTATCAGGAGAATTTCGTAATTTAATAATTTGATTGCAAAACATTTCAGAGCGAAAAAAGCTGCTAGTGGCTCTAAATAATTTATACTGAATTTTTTTTCCTCTTTTTTCCGAAATCCATGAGTGTTCACACTATTACAGTGTGTACCTCATCCAGTCAAAGATGCATCCGAAAAACATCTCTTGTTTATACTGTAGTCTTCTAATAGGGTTTGAACTCATTGAAAAAGTATTAGAAAAAGTCTAATGGTAAAGATAATATAGTATTATATAGAAAAAAAGTGAGTACATTCCAATCATATTTGAAGTTAAAAAATTTTGGGAAATATATGAAACTTTGAATAATAATAATTGTTATATTGTAAAAATTTCAAATTCTATTCTCGGAGTTATTTTTACGAAATATCGATTTATTGTCTATTTAAAACCATGCATTATAACCGAACTTTTTGTAACTTTTCAAACTTTAAATTAAACGAATCGTTGGGAAAAAGTTCAGTTTTTTTCTTCTCCAAAATTATTTAAAATTGTTTGAATTTTCATACTTTTATGACTTTATACAATGTTAGATTTAATAAAAACATCACTAAAATCTTTTTAAATTAACATAAAAATTTGGTTGTCCATCCCAGACATGATTTATTGTATTAGCGTTAAAAGGAATAATATAAATAAAATTTATAATAAAATAGCGAAAGTTTTTCATTACTCAGAGTAATGAAACAGACGGGTGGGAATATTTCTGAAAAAGAGAAAATAGTGTTGTAAATATGAGGTCTTTGTCCCAAGTGTTGTGAATTCCGGTTGCGGGCGTAGGGAACATTTATCACTGGGTCACAACCGGTGGTGCGAAAATTGTAACTTGTTTTGTTTGTACTTTTGTCTCTTTCTCTCTCTTCTAAAAGGAAGAGAGAAAAGTATGCTTGTGAAGAATCGAGCTAACGTTAACGTGTAATATATAACAAATAACAAATAACAGAGGATGCAAAGTGGAGCATTGGAGATGACAATTGCCGGTTTCGGAACTTGTGGGTCAGCTTCTGGGTGCATGGGTGATGCTGTACTAGTTCTAGGTTATACTAGGATGCTACTCTCAACTCAACTCGGTATCCCGGGTTAACCAATACCAAAGTAGTCACGCCCGTTACGTGTCAGACGTCCAATATCGGTGAATCCCAGCCAGAGCTTATGCACTCACTTTAAAGTTTGTGTCACATATTAAAATTGAATGAAAAATATAATCAACTCACTGTATGATTCAAGAACTGCGTTTTATTTTCTGAAGCGTGAAAGCTGCTTCTATTTAAAATGTGACCAGTAAATACGAAACAGCAGTATAAAATAATCTTTATGGACTGCATTATTTAGCTGATGATGGTTAATTCAAAAACTAATCCTGAAATTCATCAGAAATGCTTAAATACGTCAGAAATATTTGATGTATTCGGAATTACGACGGAATTCGTCTAATGAGCTAGCGACTGAGCAGTTTCAAGTCAAGTTGTCGACTGAATGCTTTGCAAAATGGGTGATTTTGTTGCGACCTGTTGCCCATGACAACTGCAGCTTATAGTTTGAATAAATATCGTTAAAATTTGTAACGAGCTTCGTACACAAAAAAAAATTACTTTCATTCAAGAAAAATATACTGAAACTAAGAAAACTATTAGAAAAAAAGCTGATTTTATTACTTCAATTTTTTCTCAAATTTTGTTGAGAATATGAATTGATGCTGTTATTTTAATATAATCAGGTAATGATTGTAACCCACAGTATTTAAATTAACAACTAACTATTTCAACTAACAACTATCCTTTTTATACAAAATAATTCAACCCTTTCGTAGAATTTTATTATTTTATTTTAAAGGATTCAATTTATTTGAAATTGGGTTCTCAATACTAATTTGGTTTGACATAAAACAATTAAAGTCTACATATGTTTCACGATCTACTTCTTTCAGCAAATTTTATAGTGGTGAATAAGCCTAGGTTTGTTTTTGCTTCAAAACTTGGGCTAGGCTTGATTAAAAAGCTTGGGCCAGTCTTGGTAACCAAGCTTGGTACCCTGTTATCTATTGCTCTAGACTTCTACCAAGGCTGGGCCGAAACTGGTTTACCAGCCAGGATCAGAGTTTTACAATGTTGCGCCGAGCTTGAGCCAAACTTGGTCCCGTCGTAATCTCTTGTCTGGGATACTGTATGGTAATATTCGATGAAAATCAGATTTTTAATCATCAATAGAAGGATTTGTTTATAGTTAAAAATATTTGTTAATATTTAACAAATCATTTACTAGAGACCACTTTTTAGTCCTGAATAAATATTTCTTAGTATTTAAAAAGATTTATTAATATTTAATAATTGAATATCAGATTTATTAAATAT